TTCGCTTGTGGCGGCGACGACAGCGCCGCTACATCACCCCCCTCTGCTCAGACCGGAGGTCGATAGTGCAGTCGAGTTGTCGACGAATGTGCAAGTGCCAGGAGATTGCCTTGTAGTCTGCGGTGAGTCGAGAAGAAGGCAAGTTTCCGAAGGTTGTTTGGTTGCGTGTGTTCAGATCAAGTCGGGGTCACCACTGTGGCCGTAGAAGGAAAAGGGGAGATCTCCCACCGGGCAAGGTGTTCTGCCCGGTGAGCGGCCGACACTCTGTGTGATAGTTCGGAGATGTTCTATATATGCTGTTTATGATTCGGAATGTTGATAGCGCGATTTAGGCTTCGGTGTGTTTTCGCTTGTGGCGGCGACGACAGCGCCGCTACAGATTAAAACTTTTCTCTTTTCATTAATCTTTTTACGCAGTCGGGTTTATTAAATTAGTATTTTAACCTTTGGACTTGTTATATATTTATTATTGTAGTATGTTAATGTGGGGTCGAAGTTAAGGGCAAAATGTAAAAATTCAAGTCATTTCCGCCTTGACAAATAAACAAACGAAAACCAGAGATCATTAAGATCATAAGCAACGAGTCGCCATAAAATAAATATTCAAGGACTCAATTTGTCCAAGTAATGTATATTTTAAATAATCATCTAATTTGTAATACCTGTGACTTGAATGTAAACAAGGACGATCCGGAAATAATATACGGATATTAGACGCGAATTAAAATTAAAAATCTTATAGCAACATTCACAATAATTTATTAAATCATAATCATAATCATAATAATTTATGTCAGGGCGACCCTAGATCCTAAAAAAGATTCTTCTAATTCACAAGGGCTTGTTCCTTCTTTTATATGAAATGGTTTGTTGAATACAAGATACAAAGAGCATAGATAGGTACCTGTTTTCTAACATACGACATTGCAAGTATATGCGTACATACGTTCATGCATTCGTTCGTTCGTGTGTGCGTGTGTGTGTGTGTGTGTGTGTGTGTGTGTGTGTGTGTGTGTGTGTGTGTGTGTGTGTGTGTCTGTGTGTGCGTTTGTGTGTGTCTGTGTGTGTCTGTGTGTGTGTGTGTGTGTGTGTGTGTGTGTGTGTGTGTGTATGTGTGTCTGTGTCTGTGGCTGTGTCTGTGTCTGTGTCTGTGTCTGTGTCTGTGTCTGTGTCTGTGTCGTGTGTGTGTGTGTGTGTGTGTGTGTGTGTGTGTGTGTGTGTGTGTGTGTGTCTGTGTGTGTGTGTGTGTGTCTGTGTGTGTCTGTGTGTCTGTGTGTGTGTGTGTGTTTGTGTGTGTGTGTGTGTGTGTGTCTGTGTGTGTCTGTGTCTGTCGCTGTGTCTGTGTCTGTGTCTGTGTCTGTGTCTGTATATGTGTGTGTGTGTGTGTGTGTGTGTGTGTGTGTGTGTGTGTGTGTGTGTGGGTGTGTGTGGGTGTGTGGGTGTGCGGGTGTGCGGGTGTGCTGGGTGTGTGGGTGTGTGGGTGAGTGGGTGGGTGCGTGGGTGGGTGGGTGGGTGGGTGAGTGGGTGTGTGGGTGAGTGGGTGTGTGGGTGTGTGGGTGTGTGGGTGTGTGGATGTGTGGGTGTGTGGGTGTGTGGGTGTGTGGGCGTGTGGGTGTGTGGGTGTGTGGGTATGTGGGTGTGTGCGCTTGCGTGAGCGTGTGCGTGATGTTACCCTATAAAACGTCTTCCAACTCATCTTACATTTAATCCATTGCCATACCAATAAGCCATTGATGGTATATGTTCCCACTTTTTTTATTTAAGTAAAAACTTATCTATCATGCCTATTCTCTCCAGATTTTCGTAGTTCCCAAGGGGAACATGCCAACTTTTTCATTCATTGTATTCTCACCCAAATATTATGTATTCTACTGATTTGTAATTAAAGAACTGGACGTAAATCCCTCGGATTTGTAATAGAATTAACGTTTTATAAAAACTTATCCCGTGGGTGCTGTAAGAGGCGAATGAGGGAATGAAATCAGGAGATGGGTAGCAGCGCCTTCCTAATAACGGACAAAAATAAAAGCATCTACATTTCGGTACTTAAAAAATGATTGGTGTGGTTGTCTATGGGCCACAGCATCCAATCACACCAAGTGGACTGTGTGCTAGTTTGTAACTCTCATTTTGATTTCAGGACTGTAGACGGACGAGCTGTCGCCGAGTACAGAGCCCCAGCTGAAGTGACGGGGGTAGCGAGCGCTCACGGCGGCAAAGCGGTGGCTTTAGCTTCCCAAGATGGATGCCTCACTATACTTAACATTGTAGATCCACATGAATAGTTTAAAGTAATATGTTAGCTAAATGTTTGTTTAATAAACAGCATCTAATCGTTTCAAATGTAGATTCATACTTTGCAATTAGAATTTTAATGATATGTACTTATAATAAAATACACATATTCAAGCGTAAATAAAGGTAGTATGCAAAATTTATTTTCTTTCAATTATTTAAACAATTCAACATTAACATTATAATACATACAACATATGAATAAAATTAAAAATTCTTCCTTTAATATCGCCATATCTATCTCATATTGAGCTGAGGGGGTTATTTGAATGCCATGTCCGTGTGTCTCTCTGTCCAGGCTAATGAATCGCAGAACCGATTGTAATGAACTTTACGAAAAGATATAGAGCAATGCCAGGACTATAATTTTTTTTTAAAAAAAGATATAATAAATGGGTTCCTGATTATGAAAGATGTGATTACCTTGCAAAAGATGAGGCGTATCGCTAGTACGTAAAAAATGAACTTGTACAGAGTTATTTATAATACAGGCCTTAGTTAAATATATTTTGGAGCTCACGACTTTTGTTAATAACATATTATTTTTATTTTCTTACACAAACTTGATATTCCTTTGTATATGAGGTGATTTTTTTTACCGTCTGGAAAGAATAGGGTAACAGGTGAACGGAATACAAGCCTATAGCACTGATATTTTAATTTTTTTTCTTTTACATTAACATATTACCTATATAAAATTGATCTATCAATAAATACTACCAATTAGAAAAATACTTATGGTACTAAAAAGATAAATACAAAAATGTTTAAATAAATAGATAAATCAATTAAAAACTATCGAAATTAAGATAATACGCACCCAATTAGTAGTATTTATTGATAGATCAATTTCATAATATGTTAATGTAAAAGAAAAAAATTGTAAAATATCGATGCCATAGGACGCATTGTCACCCGTGAGGATAAAGATAGAATGCCTCGTTTCCTGTTAAATATGTCTCTGGTTCTCTACACTCACCATACAAAACACGCAGCATTAAACTGCTATTTTACGCTGGTATTCTGTGAGAGCGTGGTACTTCCCCGGTCGAGCCGAGCCATTCGTGCTACTACCATAATACAGCTGCAGCGTGGCTCTACCACGTATATTAACCTTAATTTCTTTCTGGAAAATCTGCGTTATCGAGGATAAATGTAGATGTCTATGGGCCACAGCATCCACTTACCATCAGGAGGACTGTATGTTTGTAACATAGACTTGCTCCATTGATTTGACCTTTAGGTTGACAATTGAGGAGTTTAGAGGGAGGCTTCAACTACGTTTTGTACGTGGTAGAGCCACGCTGCTGCTATATAATAGTTGTAGCACGAATGGGTCATGGTAAATAGCAGTGTAATACTGCTGTGTTTCATACGGTGAGCGTAGAGAATCGAAGACCCTTTTTACTGGAATCGAGGCATTCAATCTTAGTCCTCATGGGTGACAACGCATTTGCATTTTAATTCTTAACTGAGGTTAAATGTCTATGGGTCACAGCATCCTACCATCAGGTGGATTTGTACGTTTGTCACCCTATCCTATAAAAAAACTAATAACTGCGGTTGCCAATCCTTCTACCAAGCGTGACAAATATGGCACATATCTCCTCTATGAGGCAATCTATGGAACTATGTCCACCAGAGCACTTTCGATAAGCAGTGACAGTAACGTAGAATGTTCAGACTTTTAGTCCGATTGCAACCAGAGTGTCTTCAAGCCAAAAGTTAATTGGCTTTTATTGGGCTAAGGCAGATAGCATTTTACTGTCAAGGACTTCATTTCCTCTTACCACCTACTAGTGGGATTTCAGTAAAGCACTAGCTTGATATTAATACAAAAAAAGAGACCCGGTTAAATTTAAAAAAAAAACTATAAAACGGTCCGTTAACACCTGCAGCTAATTGTTTAAAAGTAATATCACAAATTAATGTTTAAAAATTTATTAAGCACTAAATAAATATTTACAAAAATACTTGTGTATTTTTATTTATTATGTATAAAAGTTTTCATTAATGTTTTGTTCTTAGTCAGTTTATTGACTAACCTATACCATTCACAACTATAAAGAATTACATCCACCAAAATCAATGTATACGTAATCAAGTATATTATCTCAGTTGCAAACCTTTTTACATTACGATATATTTAAAAAAATAATCACCGAATAGTTTTAGCAAAAATTAAAATCGATATTAAAGATACAATAAAATTAATATGTAATTGAGTAATAACTTAAATTCCAATTCAATTATTTCTACTTTGCATTTAATTAAATCTGTTCCAACGATTTTCTGCCACAGGTTTGCAATACTTGTTTTATACAATTAAAAGGTGATTAAGATTAAAACCTTAAATGAAACTATTACAATAACATAAAATTAATACTTAAGGGTTTCCCCTTTTTGCATTCATAATATCAACGTCAAATTGCACTTATTTACATTGCACATCTGAGTCAATTTTCCAGGTTTTCGTGTTTAAAACAAAGCCAACATAACTAGCTTTTAAAAAATACAATCTATTTTCCATTCAATTGTGACTAGTATTCAATATAAACTCCTGAACAATAAAGTGACCAATTAAAACTCGTATTCCGATACGTATAAGTACAATTTTGCAACGGCAATCCCGCCGAATTGATCTCTGCTGTATAGCTCCATGAATAGTTCAAGTTCTATGCTTTGTGGACCTTCAAGTGACCTCACTAGAGACACGATTCCTTGGTTCGCGTTTTGCACCAGCCTGTAATCAAGCAATATACGTAAAACTCAGAATAAATAAAAGTATCAAAAAATCATCATTTTTGTGATTGGAAAGTCACGTGTCCTTTTTTCACAAATATTTATTTTAATTTATCAAATGTGTAACAAATTTAAATAATTATTGGTTTTTATAGTTATTACATTAAAACAAATATTAGTGAAGCAAGTACAGGTGAACGAACACAAATAAAAAAAATGGAGATGAAATTTCACCAATTAGTGAGAAATATCGCAAATGTATCAATCAACAATCCATTAAGTTCAACCAAATAAGGTAGTATATGCGTTACCACTCATGAGATTTTTTTTATAGGATAGGGTGACCAACGAGTACACAGTCCACCTGATGGTAAGTGGTTGCTGTGGCCCATAGACATCTATCCTCGTCCACGAATCGAAATGCAAATGCGTTGTCACCCGTGAGGCCTAAGATGGAATGTCTCGTTTCCAGTAAAAAGGGTCTCCGGTTATCTACACTCACCATACGAAACACAGCAGCATTAAGCTACTATTTTGCGCTGGTATTCTGTGAGAGCGTGGTCCTGCCCCAGTCGAGCCTACCTATTCGTGCTAAAACCATACTACTAATATAACTGCAGCATGGCTCTACCAACGTAAAATTAAGTCCCTTTCATTGGAATTATTTTTTCGGAATCCGGTAGAAAGTATTAGTAACAGAATGGTAAAGTAAAAAATTAAAAAATGTCAAATATTCTGTCTTTTTTATCTTTTAAATTCAGAATGCGTGTTAATGCATTACTTTAACCGAGTGTCATTCATAAATATCTAACGCCTACCGTTTTACTACGCACGCATTGATTTATAAGAGTCACTCGATCGGTAAAAACCTTGTGAATGGAATCGCACAAAGAAGAGCGCGCGTGCGCAAAGGGATTGCTCATAAATGACATTCAATTTGGGATAATTTCAAATAAAAGTAGCTTACTCGTATTTTTAAAAACTGCAATAACAATATATTATTAATTATATATTTGAACTTAAATATAAAAATTTGGCTACTCTTTAATAAAAATAACCTTGTATATAATATCATATACCAAAGCTGATTGCTCATAAATCACATTCAATTTGGGATAATTTCAAATAAAAGTGGAAACCTTATTTACTCGTATTTTCAAAAACTGCAATAAAAGTATATCATTATTTATATATTTGAACTTAAATATAAAAATTTGTCTACTCTTTGAAAAATGACCTTGTACATAATATCATATACCAAAGCAGAGGTATTCTTAATTGACAACCATGTGGTTATGGGATTAGGTGACAGAATATAAGTAATGTAAAAATCTTGCCTTTAGATCTAGATGTTGTGTGAAACCGTGTAGTAGCGGTGTAAATAAATTCACTATCCCATATCGTTCCGTGGGGTCGTATGAGGCAAAAGAGAGGAACTAAACCAGGTGAGCAGCAGGATCTTCCTGATAACAGCTGAATTAGAAAAAAACTGCGGTTGCCAATCCGACCACCAAGTGTGGTAACTATGAGGTCTTTATTCAGCAATGGACTATAATAGGATGTAACGGTAACAAACTTTGATTTTACCTAATATCACTGCTATATACCTGTCCATTTCTTGTCCAGAGCTAGAGCACCTCTGCATCGTAGCGGTTGCATCCAGGTACCACTTTTGCAAAAATGTAACAAAAGTCTATCATCGTCGAGGTCCCCGCTCCACATCACCAGGAAGAAATTCTCTAAATCTCTGAACTCCATTGCTACAAAAAACACCAAAATATAAATTAAGTCAATGTTCTTACGACAAGGGTTAATATTGCGTGACAGTTTGACGGTAAGTGGATGCTGTGTCCTAAAGATATCTACATCTATCCTTGATTAGGAACAAAATTTAGATGTGTTGTCATCCCTCAGGACTAATATGGAGTATCTCGTTTTCAATAAAAAGGGCCAACGTTTATCTTAACTCACAACACGAAACACAGTATTCAGTGAGAGCGAGCGTAGCTCGAGCCAAAATATTTGTGCCACAAACATAATATAGATGCGAATATGATACGTGGGTCTACCACGTATAGTATCCCCACACCAGGATGAGGAGTAGCGTTGAATGTGTGAGACAACTGGTTCTGCGATCGCCAGTACACCAGCCATGTATGGCAATTGTGTCCATCCTCTCTGGAACTTATGGGTAGTAGTGAACTATTATGGGGTGATGAAGATACTAGATCACCTTTATTTGCCAATTTGCCACGCTTTTTGACCTGAAAAATAAACCCTATGGTCGTCCGAAAACTTTAGTCGATAACGACGAATTTAAGGCTAAATTGATAAAGGCTAAGGATGATATTCAACCTACCGCTGAATTAGGAGCATCTTTAGCATCAAAGTAATATTAGTCCATTTGTGTCAAGCTAGCTAGGTAAAAAAGGTTGGCAAATGGATTCCTCACGAGTTCAATGGTCGCCAGCGTGAAGTAAGCGTCGGCACGCGACTTGCACTGCTCAACAGGCAAATGAAACAAATAAAAGAATTTTGAACCGCATTGTTACCTGCGACGAAAAATGTATCCTGTTTGACAATCGCAAGCGCGTTGCAAATTAGTTGGATCGTGGTTCAGCACCTAAACAATGCCCTAAATGAAAACTTTCTCCTTGAAAAGTAATGGTCACTGTGTAGTGGTCTAGCGCCGGTGTGATTCATCACAACTTATTACCAAACGGGATGAGCATTACTGCAAATATTTACCGTGAAAAACTGAACACAATGGTGGAAGAGCTTACACGTTTCCTACCAGCTTTAGTCAATCGCTCGTCCTCGTTGCTTCTCATAACAACGGGCGACCTCATACTGGGCAACATATATTCTCCAAGTTACAAGAGCTGGGATTGGAAGCTTTATCACCAGGCCTTGCGTGGCTATTCGTGTTAAAACAAATCCTTTTTTTTTTATAAATCAGGAGTGACAGACAAACTCACAGTCCAGCAGTCCATGGACGAATTCAAACCAAGAAGGCTACAGATGCATTGTCACGTTTGAGAACTAAGATATAAAGCCACATAGCGCGGGCTAAATTTTTCTTGCTATTAGACGAGGAAAATCAGTAAGCGTTCTAAGCACTTTTAACTTTACTGTAGTAAATATTGCACATTTTAATGTGGTTTTACCACCTTATTAGTTTTTATATTTTAAAAAAGAAGTCTTTATACTTACCTTCATCCAATGGATTCTCGATAGTGATATACTCACTTGTCAACATGTTCAGAAGCATCGACTAAAAGTAAAAAAGGATATTTTATTTTCATTACTGTCGGAAACTGCTCGAGATAACTAATGGAAGCTATATTACTCATGTTATTGCTGATATATGCGAGTGGTATTTTATCGTGATAATGACTTGAAACAGGATTAATGTTTTTTATTTTTAAAATTTTTATTTACATCATTATAATATTAGAAACTGAAAGTTTGATAATATCGAAACATAACCCTTATAACAGCCCTACACAAGTCCACTGGAAATCATAGGCATCTACCAAGGAATGCCTTGAAGTACGTTCCTGAGCAACCTAAATCCTTTCTATTCCTCTATGTCTTACCAGGTCGTTGCTTCATCTAGATGGGAACCGTCATACACTCCGCTTACCGACCACCTATTTTAGAACTTTTATTCCCCATGTCGAACTAGGTATAATATTAACTTTAGTCACGCTAAAGTTACGCTCGCCCAGTCTCTTCTTCTGCCTATCCTTGAGTATGCTGATATTTGCTATCTTGACATTACCGAGGAGCAGCTTAATAAGCTTGAGCGTATTCAAAATTTATGCATTAGATTTATATTTGGGCTTCGCAAATATGATCATATCTCCGAATTTCGCAAACAGCTCAAATGGCTCCCGATCCGCCTTCGCAGGAATACTCACATTCTCTCCGCGTTGTATAGTGTGCTGTTTAATCCTTCTACTCCTTTTTATTTAAAAAACCGTTTCCAGTATCTTTCTCTTACCCATAATCGGTTCCTTCGTTCCTCCGTCAATCTTTCTCTCTCTACACCTTTGCACTCTTCTTCCTTTTTCAAGAAATCCTTCACCGTAACCGCTGTGCGATTGTGGAACTCCTTACCTCTCCATATTAGTCGCGCTAAATCTCTTCACTCTTTCAAAAGTCTTGTTAAATCGTATTATTTATTACGCTATTAGATAAATTATTTAATCTATTATATGATATTTTATATATAACTTTCACTTATTTTTATTTGTATGTATTATTATATTTTTTATTATTATTTTGTATGCCCCCCTCCATTTTAACTTTTGTTTGCATCATTCCTCTACGCAAAGGTTGTCTGGAAGAAATCACTTTCAGAGTGATAAGACCGCCTATTGTACATACTTTAATTAGTTTTAACTGAACTTGATGTTTCTGTATTGTGGTGTACAAAAAAGAATAAATAAATAAATAAAATAAAATAACTAAACCCAAGCATACCAATGTAGGATTTCAAGATACACTAATCTTATTCGGTACTCCGGGTTAACTATGACATAGGGACGTCAGGTACCATAGGTAAAATAAAACGCTATAAAATCGGAAAAAAGCGAATTCAATGTGTGGTGTACGCGTAAATAGAAGAAATCATTATTTGAACTAATCTCCAAGACTCTGCTCATTGACAATGCACCCAAAAGGGTAGGCGGAGATAACGGACTTCCGTTTGGCATGATACTGACAAATTTCCCTCGCGCCTACCACATCCTCTCATAATTTTTAAATAATATCTATATTATTTAAGAATTGTGATTCTAGATTCTAGAGCGTCCCTTGCCGCCTCTGCAATTCACTTCTCCAGCAGAAATTTACTATGTCAATCTTTCCTCATCCATTTTTTTTACATATGTAAACCACCAAAATATACCTTCCTTAGTCATCTTATCGCATTCGAACCAAACGGTTTGCTACGTCGTTCATCAAGCGTACAGCAAAGGAGTGGAATAAGTTGCCAGTATCCTTCTTTCCATCCGATCACAGTGTGGGTGTCTTCAAGGTAAGAGTGAATAGGTTTTTGTTAAGTCAGTGCGCTTCACGATTTAAGCTACTTACCATCAGGTGGGATAGTACCTAAGCACTGGCTTAGAATGATTAAATATAAAAAAATATAAAAATTACACATACAAAAATTTAAATTTACCACTAAATTGTTCGTAGATGCTGCAGCCCGTTTATTATCCGGCGATATTTCTAGATTCTGCATGATTCCCTCCAGTTGTGAGCATAGATTCCTCGCCAGGTCTGACGTTGACAAGTCTCAGGAGATAACACGGCTTGAAAAGAAAAGCGGAAAGCGAATACGGCAAACTGATGGCCTTCCAAGGAGTACTGCAAAGGTAAGTATAGTAATAGAACTTTTGCATATTAAAACTTCCTTTCTTGTTTATTTTAGCAATGGGGAGCAAACTAGCAAACGGCTTCCTACTGGGATGATACTTTCCCGTCCATCAGCAACTATAACATCAGAGGTTGTAAATGCATTGCCGGTTTATAAAAAAGGAGTAAGCTCTTATCATGAAAGTTAATTTGTCGATTCCACAAAGACCTACTTAAATTACACACAGGTGAACTGACAAGCATAAATTTGTTGTGGATGAAATCGCGAATTCGTCACAATGTGCGATGGTGGAATTTCGTGGCTCGAATAAATAAGAACAATTCTTCAGATATGTGTTAATTATTTTACAAATATAAGTGAGATATGACTATGTAGTGGCCATGCAAGAAGATCCACTCTATCGCTCGTTAGTGTCTTAAATGGTTATAGAGGAAAATAAACCAGGAGATGAGCAGCAATATCATCCATCATGGTATGACAAAAATTGGTTAATGGATTCTTTACGCTGTTATTACACCACTTAATTAAGCTCATAATTAAGATATACATGTATATGTGATAGAGCTATGCTGCAACTATATTACTGTGGCAACACGTGTAGGTCGGCTCGATCGAGAAAGGATTATGATCTCACAATATACTAGCTAAAATAAGTGTTATTGTGGCGAATGGAGAAAACCAGAGATCAATTTTACTGGAAACGATGCGTTACATATGAGGGGTGACTACGCATCTGAATTTTGATCAAGGATAGATGTATGTACGTTTATCGTCTACAATATCCACTTACCATCAGGTTGTGTCCTTGCTTATTACCCTTATTTTACTTTTAAAACTTTGTTACCTTTAATGGTCCTCCTGGAGTATGCAAACAATGGTGAGAAGGTAACAATGCACAATGATTCCAACACCATGATACTGCTTTAGAAGTGAAGCTACATCATGATTATGGGGTGCTTCAGGTAAAAGTCTGCCAACCAAATGGGGGGCCAACATGTCAGGGTATGCACCTAAAATGGCTCCACCCAAACGAAGAGCATCGGCAACTAGCATCAGTTATCTGAAATAATTTTTATCACTATATGGATTACAAGTAATTTTTATTGAATGTCCGTTTTAACTTTTACCACTGGTTCGTAAAATAATCCTCTGTCCCGGAAAGAACAAAAAAGAAAGTGGTGGCACTTTCCTTAAGTAATTTTCCTGCAAGGTGTGAATGTGAGCTATCGATGTCCAAGATCCGCAATTATTCTTTTGATTCTTAAGTTTTGATGTTGAAGTGGAGATTCGTATAAATGTTGGGTCTTAACCTTACACCAAGCACTTCTTAGGTTTTTAGAGTTTTATTTTTATATATTTATCTATTTTAATGTACTCCCACCATTAAAAATATTTTTTTTACAATAAATCTTGCAAAATATAACAACTCCTTAAAAAGTAAAACACAGGCGCGATGTTATAACAGTAAATTCTAATTCTCTTCTTCTAATTATATAAACATACCCACAAAAGTTTTTACGGCATTTTCGTATTCAACTTTGATTATATCTCATTTTTAGTTACTCACATTTTAAACATTATATCTATACAAATAAATAGAATTAAATTGTCTGTTATGTCGAAATGACAGTTTTTTTCTAAATGCACTTGAAAGTACTAATAACAAAAAACAATTAAAAAACATTCTGTCTCTTTCCGTTTGTTCCGACTAATCTCTATATGCATGAACCGACTTCTGCAGCTATTAATTAGAAATATGCAATTTTTAATTAACAGCTGCAGAAGTCGGTCCTAAGACACAGTATAATAAGCTTATTATACTATAATGCTATTGTAACTTACAGGGAGTGCTATGATATGCATTATATGCATATATGCATGGCATAATACCTTTTGGTAAATTTTTTTCATAATATTATTTGTCATATTCTTAGTGTTTTAAGAAAGTTATGTTAACCAAAGTTACCTACTACGTTAGTAATATCATGTATTTTATTAACTGCATAAAATATCACAAATCTAAACAAGGTTATAGATATTCATAATAATAACAATGTATATTTTAGACACACAGAATAACAAGGTATAAAAATAATAATTATTATTACTCACAATTTATCTTTCGTGTACGTATTCTCTACTCAACAGTTTTAGTAAGAGCCGCAAGCTGCCGCTCGTAGCTGCCGGGCTCAAAGCGACGACATCTGTCTTTTATAGGCTTGTAATTTAACAGTGCTAAACTACAGATGGCGTTGTTTGTGTGGTTTCCGTTACAAGTTTTTAATATAATTGGATATTAAGCCGTAAATTTTTACATTACAAAACGTTATTTATATTTCTTATAATTTATCTTAAACAGTTTTATATTCTAGTTATAAATATGAGCAAAAATAAATAACTAGACACAATCTAAAACATGAAAGTACCCGCAAAATTATGGTATGAAAATAATTAATTACCCACAATGTTAGTTACAACAATATAAATTATTAAAGTACGCTAACAATTTTTAACTTGTAAACCTGTTTTCTTGCTGTTGGTTCCACCTCTCTAATTTAATTAAATAAGAAATTGTTGACAACTAGAATCTTCAAAAAAATCTTTAAAAATTAGGCCTTTCAGTAATGAAATAGCTATAACTTTTTAGTTTTATTGAAAGTTGTTTTATGTTTTATTGTTTTTAAATCTTCATTCATTGCACTATTTTCCAAGTCATTGGACATCAAGGAAGTAGTATCTTTTTTCAACACCACAGTATCTTAAACTTGTGTTAGGTTACTATTATTGTGTAACTATTATTGTTAGATTAATGTTAGGTTAATAACTATTATATTATTGTTTAAAACAGAATTACTCGATTTAACTTTATATTATAATTACTATTA